AGGCCCAGCCAAGACTGCCTACAACCACGCCCTCAAGGCGGCTATCCGCCCCAAGGGGAACAAGTGGGTCGAGTTCTGGACTCTCATGGCCGTGTGCGTGCCGGGACACGCCCTTGAGATCGACGCCATCACGCAGCGTGAAGCATTCCTGTGCCTGCGGCGACAGGTTAACCGCGACGTTACACTCTGCGGGCTCGCCAGAGACCTCCAACACCACGTCCAGACCCTGTTTGGTGGAGGACCCGTCGGACGACTCGTCCAGTCGCTCCAGCAGCTCCGATGGACCTGGCCCACATTTGGCATCATGTACGACGACTGGGGCTGCCCGATCAGCTGGCTGAATTTACCCCAAAACGCCTTCCTGCACATGCTGCGGGCCTCACAACGCAGGGCATTTCTGCGGAGGATCAAGCCACGGCGACACGACCTTGGCTACCTCGCCTCTGTCAGACAGGGCCTTGACCTCTTCGCCAGCACGTGGCTCGCGCGAACTAAAGGAGCAGCCAAATGCACTGCCTGGCAGCTGGCGCTCCTCCTGAACTACCTGTCGGGCGGGGACCACACCCAACAGCGACGATCCCGATCAAACACGTCGGCAGACCCCAGCCCCATGTGCCGCTACTGTGACGAGGAAGAGGAAACTCAGGAGCACACTGTCCGCGACTGTAAGTGCTGGGCCCGAGAAAGACTCCCTCTCACCACCCTCATCAGTGACGACCAGTGGGCCCGTCTTCCGCCGCACACAAGACACTGCGGGCTCTTCGACGAAGACCCAGCCCTCCTCGACCTGCAGGCCGACCTCGCGAGGGACCCGCTGCCACAGCCCATTCCGCGGCCCTCCCCTGATGGTGATCCTGCGGCTTCAGCCCAGGACACCTACACCACCTACCTTGACTACGACACTGGTTGGACATGGGTCTATGCTGCCACGGACGGTGCGTGCACCAACCAAGCCATCCCATTGCTAGCACGAGCGGGTTACGGCGTCTACTACGGCATCGATCACCGCATGAACTACAGTGCACGCGTTCACGGCCTAACGCAGAACGCCCAGGTTGCGGAGACCCTCGCCATTGTCCACCTTACGGCATGTGCCGAACGGCCCGTGCACGTTTTCGTGGACAACCAGGCGGTGGTCGATGGGTTCCAAAGCATCATCGACGGACATCCAGCGCCGCAGGGCACGCACGCGGAGCTCTGGGAAAAGATCCACCGATGTGTTATGGCCAAGCCCAACATGTTTCGCGTCGAAAAAATCGCCAGCCACCTGGGAGACCTGGGCATCGACCTTGGGCTCATCGGGCCCATCGCGGAGGAGTTCAACCGTCAGGCCGACGCCCTTGCCACAGCGGCGGCACGCACGCACAACCTCCCCGACGACATTGTTGAAGCTGCCAAAACACGACATCGCCAAGCGACCGTGCTTCATGGGGTCGCTGTCGCTATCTACGAGCGCAGACACCGTACTCTGCCGCTCCCACACCGCAGGGCTGGGTTTACAGCAGCGGAACTCAGCAAAATGGAACCGAACCCCCTGCTGTCGGACCAGGCACCACCCGCGGCTGGACCATACATCCCGCAGAACCCGGATGAGCTCTGGGCCGAGGCCCAACGGGCGATGCACGACGAACAGGAGGACGACCCGTTCGGCTTCGGCGGGGGATTAGACTTCCTGGACGACGGGCCAGCCAGCGCCAACCCTGCCCCGTCGGGCAGCCTCTCGACGCCCACCTCGACTCCGCCACCGAGAGTGACATCGCACCCACATGATGACGTCGCTCACCGTCAAGACGCCGACGAGGACCTTTATGATCCCCTCGGATTGAGTGGCAGCATAGACGACGCCCCGCCGACACCCCACGCTGCCGACGATGCCGCTTCATCGAGACGCCACCCGACCACGCGGCCGACCTCCGAGCCCTCGCACGGCATCATGATTGGCCCCCCCGTGCCACCCACCCCGTCCCCCCACCAGCCCCAGCCCGCGGGGGCGGCTCCAGCCCCCCCGCAGGGCACTGAGCCAGTCAGGCCGTCGCACCCCGTCCACGCTTTTACTGTTACTGGGTGCGAGGCTGCGGCTCCTCCGCCCTCACGGGGTGTGGCCCTAGCGGCTTCAGCCCTGGGGCCGCGCGTTACCCTCCAGTCGCCTCGCAAGGGCGACGGCCGCCAGCACGCGGATCGCCGCACCGCGCTGGTCCACCACCTGGCCAGGCGCACCGATGGCCTCGTCCCCGCCACGAGGCCCGCGGCCACAGACATAGAGCAGCCGCCCCTCACCGACCGCGAAGCCGAGCTGTCCCAGTCTATGGCCGCTCTTCAGCAGAGGTGTGCTGCTCTCGCCGCCGACCTTGCCGCTGCTCAAGCCCGTCAAGGCCCTCTGCTCCAGCGCCTCCACCGAGCCCGGCGTGCCTTCGCCGAGCTGCTTACACCCTCGCCCGATGGTGCTGCGCCACCACTCACCCTCCATGCTATGCTGTCATCGCTCCGCGACGCTCCGCCTGGAGCCCCGCGCTAATCTCCGCCTTTCTGCCTGCCCGTGTGCACGCGTGGCCCCGCGTCCACGGTGTCAGGGCGCGGGGGCGGGGGGCGCCCCGTCCCTGCGCGCCGCTTTGCGGCCAAGCGCCCAACTGGCGGTCTGCCAAGCCGCCTAGCCACGTGTCAGCACGTCGCCTTTCTTGTTGGGGCCTTCTTCGTCACGCGGTCTGACACGTGAGATCTTCACTGTCTGTCCGCCGTCTGTAGCGTCAGTCGCATTGCGCCGGGGGAGGGGGTTTGTTGCCCGCCCTCGTATCTCAAGGCTGCACCGCCGCAAATAGTGTTTGGCGGGTTGTCGCACCGCAGTGCGCCTCGCGGACGGACCCTGGTCCGCCTACTTGTCCGGTCTCTCTCTCTCTCTCTCTCTCTCTCTCTCTCTCTCTCTCTCTCTCTCTCTCTCTCTCTCTCTCTTCTCTCTCTCTCTTTTTTTTTCTCTCTCTCTCTCTCTCTCTCTCTCTTTCTCTCTCTCTCTCTCTCTCTCTCTCTCTCTCTCTCTCTCTCTCTCTCTCTCTCTCTCTCTCTCTCTCTCTCTCTCTCTCTCTCTCTCTCTCTCTCTCTCTCTCTCTCTCTCTCCTCCCACCTGGCAGCGCCGGCCATTTCTCTGTATTCGGTTCTCTCTTTCTCGGCCTGCTGATGAGAAGCCGTCAACATTTGCTCTGCCATATGATCTCTCTTTCCTCGTTCTCCTCTTGCGCAAGACGTCGATGTGCCACGTCGATTCCTGCTACGCTGGCATCTGCGTGCTGTATCCGTCTCTGCGCATCCCCCGCATTGACAGTTCTCTTTGTTCGACCTTTTGTGCCATTGCCTGTCTTTCTGCTTCAGATTCTGCTAGCGTCCGCTTGGCTTCGTCAGCGGCCCCCCTCAACCTGCGCCCCGAGAACGAATTGCTGCCTTTGGGCACTCGCAGCTCTCAATTGCTCTCGACCCTGTCTCTCATTCTCTTCCCACTCCTGAATTGCTATACAACGGCAGTGGCGCCCCTCCAACTCAGCGCATCCTCCGCAGAGCCATGCGACACTGCACTTGGGACATGCATTCGAGCAGTGCGAGCATACTGGCCTAAGACACGGCACCCCCTAGTTTGCGCGCTCTTCCCGGACATCGGCTCTCCGCCCGCGGCGGGCGCGTAGGTCCAGCGTCCCAGCGGCTACCCCTTATCGAAAGGCTACTGGTAGTCCTATCCGATGATAACCGAGGTGACGCAAAGGCATTGCATCCTCTGGAACTGGAGCGCCCGGCCCCGGGGGGCCATGCCCCCTGCTGGAGGCGGGGGCATGCTGTTCCCTTGTTCTTACACCCTTACATTGAAGAAGTTGACATATTGCTTTTGTGCCAGCTTGTCTTTTTCGCCCTGCATTACCAGCTCATCAAGTTCTGGCGCCCTGCCCTTGCCTGACCTCGTCCATGCGAAGTCTGGCCGATGAAAGCCTTCTGGCAACGGGGAAGCATTCAGGTCATCATCCTCATTCTTAGGCTTCTTTACCCGTGGAAGTGGAGTCGTTTCTGGAGGCTCTCAAGTATGCCTTGCCGTGCCCGAGCGTTCGGGCGACTTTGGCATCGGCTGGGCCGACGAACTCCTGCCTTGACCTGGGCTTCCCCCATCTCCAATTGCATCATCCGAATCGAGAATAGCCTGTTGGATTGCACCGACATAGACAATTGTCTTGTCCTCAGACGGGCCTGCCCCTGGCGCGAGCCCGTCGGACCCATCAGTGATGGGATTGTAAGGATGAGGTGGGCCAGGCGAAATATGAAACTGAGCGTACTCTTCATTCCTCTCAATTGAAGGCGAGCTGCCCCTTTTAGATGGTAAATCGCTCTCTTCCTCATCCCGACCATGAATCTCGCATTGCGCTGCGTTTCCTGTGTTACAGTTGCCTTGGTCTTGCGTTTCTCTGGGCATTTGTTCCAGCAGCTTTCCATCTCGTGATCGAAGTCAACCGACGGTTGGGAACTCGGGCGTGCTGGCGCTAGATTAGATGGCCCCCCAGCGGGAGTTTTGGCTGTGCCATGCCCCCCACCCAAGGCATGTTCCCTCACTGCTGTCATCGAATCGACTGGAGAGTCTCCTTCTGCTAAATCGAATGCAGTTTTCGACGCTTGCCTTTCTGGGAGGCGGAGAGATCCAGGTCGCCACATAGAGGCGCCTGCATCATGAATCTGTTCGGGTCGATAAAGTTATTCTTGTCTTCCGAGTGATCCTTCCTGTGGCCCCATGCTCTGCGAAGCTAACGACTGTGCCGCCGCTTCGGCTGATAACCATTTTGTTGCCAGAATATTCATAATCCGTGCAGGGTGTTCCGTTGATGTATCATGGTCAGGGGGTTTTGCCGATGACGTGAGGGAGAAAGGATAATGCCGTCAAGCATGCAACTGGGTAACCCTGAAGGGAGGAGGCCGGCCCGCCGGCCGACGCTCGCGCGCGCGCGCAAAAGGCTCGCTCCTTTTCTGTTTCCCTAGAGCCAAACAGTTTCAGGAAAAACATCCAAGCAAAGAGGAGCAGCAGACAGTGCACGCAAGGCTAGAGAGCAGGACGGGCAGCAGGATGGTGGCAAGGAAGGAGTGCATTGACTATCTCAAAGGCCAGGGTGCGGCCCACAGGTGCCTCGCTGACGAAATCGAGTTCCATGCCCAAGAACGTGTCTGGGTTTTGCGCTGAAGCTGCGAACGTGGTGTTCTCAACCTTGTACGCCGCGGTGCTGTTCCCCACGGGCTCCACGCGCTCACTGTCATGAGGGCACTGCTCAGTAACGTCATCAGTGTCCTCAACGAAGAACATTTTCAACATCATAGGGTTCGCTGTTCTGCGGTATTCTGCAGGTGCGTCCATCAACATTGCAGGAGCATCGTCGGTGCTCGCCCCCAAAAATGTCACGATTTCTCCCATGTCGACTGCAACATCTGGGTCGGGGATGAAGACTGTCTTGATGATATTCCCGCGATACTCCACTGTGGCCGTCACGTTCATATCTCCATGCCCTGTGTAATAACAGATGTTGCCATTGGGGCAAGGCAGCAAACCCCCTTTTATAGCTGCAACCACTATTGGCCAGCTGAGTAGAATACTTGCGCCACGTCTCGGCCGCACGGGCATGGAACTCGGTCTCCGACGCGGCGTGTTGGACCATGAGGTGCTGGAGGTCTACCATGCCACTGCGACAGTCGGCTTCTTCCGCTGCAGCGCCATGACTGGCACGCCTCAGCAGTGCCTCATCTGCGGCACTCCCCAGCGTCATAGCCTGCAGTGGCAGGGCGACGTTAGCAAATAGTAGAAGGTGGAAGATAGCCTTGTCCCCCCGTCCCCTGTCCGTCCGTCTGTCGGCCAAGTCTGTCCTTTCCTGTCGTCCTCCCTCCCTCTCCCCCTCCCCTTCTCGCTCCTCGGCTCCTCGCTCTCTTGCTCGTTTCTGCCCCTTGCCTGGCCCGCGTTTCTTTGTCGGCCTGTCCCGGTGTCCGAATAAGAGCCGCGGCGCCCCGCACTGCCACGCAGGCGAATAGCCTGGCGTGGGAAGTTTTTCCAGGTTGGCACATACAGTCTTCCGCTTGCAGCCCGAAGTGATTGACTGTACGTGTCTACTTGGTGTCCGTGCTGTCTTTTAGTCCTGCTGAATATTCTGCTAGTTGCAGCGCCGCCCACTGTCGACAGGCCTCGGCAGCCGGCGAGTGCGGTACGTATAGCAAGATTTGCGCTGACTTTGCGCTGGCCTTGAACACCATGGGCTCACCTTATCACGTATGTGTGTGCAGTACTGCAACTAGCGTGATGCGACTTTTGTGGTCTTGAGCCAAAACTGCTACGGACCGCCTCTTCGGGCCCTCTTGGGAGCCTCTTGGGGCCATCGTGGTGCTCTCTTGGGGACGGGCGAAAGAACAGAGGCGGAAATGCGCGCAACTATTGCACTGCGAGGCAAGGGTTAAACATCGGCACGGCAAGTCGCACAAAGATGGGAAGAGTAGCTAACTTGCGGTCGCAAGTGGGAACTAGACGATGCAACCAACCAACTGACACCAAGACTGGGGGAGGGGGGAGTGCGGAGGAACTAAAACCCAATAGAAAAATCTCGAGCGTGCGTAGACACAGTGGGCGGGCATCAACCGCGCAAGTGCCATCGCGAGTCCAGACGAAGGGGGGAAGATGGGGAAGAGGAGGAGCAAAATGCGGAAACTCTCAGAGCTGAGCGAGACGCCCTCGCACCAGGGTGGCACCGCGCGCTTGGTGGTCTTGGCGAAACCAAGAATGACCGAATCGAGAATGCGCCGGCACGAACAGCAACAGGAACGACAGTAAAGCGAAGGAAACGGCAATGAAGGGCGAAAGGACAACAATGACAAGCAAATGACAAGCGGCAGTAGCGCTAAGATTGCGCTAATCGCCGTCTGAGGACGCACCGATCCACAGCGGAAATGTGAGGGGCGGCGGAATTTGATGGGAGAGGGGAAACGGAGGGGCGGGAGCGAAGGAGCTCCCCGGGCCGCTGCGCCATCCGCTCCCCCGCGCTGAAGCGGCGCCTGGGAGGCCACATGGTCCTCGGCGCCCTTCGAGTCGCTGGTGGACTTCCTCGCGCGCGGTCGCGCGCCAGCGCGACCACCGGGCAGGCCCTCGTCTGCGCGAGGACGCCAGGCGGGATGAGGGGGGGAAGGGGCGGAGGGAGGGAGGACAGGGAAAGAGAAGGGATGAGGGGGGAAGGAAGACGACGAGAGCGACGGTGCGGGCGAGCGGGAGGAAGGGGGACGGGGACGAGGACGGGGAGGCGGACAGGACGGGAGGACGGAAGGAGGGCGAGGAGGATGCGTACGCGAGAACGCCTCAGTTGTAGACTCCGCGGGGCAACGTCGGGGATGCTTAAGGACGGCGTTGGCTACCGCAGGTCCTGCCTGTTGGCGATCCCAGGCGGTGGCGCGCAGCATCGACCGCCGATTATGTGCACCGTGCCTGGCAGACCTCCTCGCACGCCGGGCCCCGGTGGACACCAGATCCAAAGCGGCCTGGCGCCAGGCCCGCAGTCGAAAAAGGGGAGGGCGGGAGTTGGACGGTGAAGGGGGAAGGGGAGGAGGGCGAGGAGGAACTATAATTGCGGGTTCCAGCGGTGAAAAGGAAACGACATGGCGGAAATGGTATCATGATATCTATCAATACGCAAAATACGTCGCCCTTCAATCACGGTGTGCCGCGTCCACACTTGAGCCAGAATGGCAGCGGGCACGCACGCATGCTCCCATTCGAATCGGGGTTACCGGGCAACGGCGGAACCCTCCGCAGCACTTAGGCCTCAAAGTACTGCCCCCAATGAGGCGCACGAGCATTCAATGCGATGCATCAGCAGTGGACGCTCGCAGCCCACCCATGGCCCCGGAGTCTCAGTCCGAACGGACTGTCGTGAACCTGGAAAGCCCTGTCGGCTCGTCCGTGGTCAGCACGTACGTCACATGAACTGACCATGACCAGGGTCGTGGATCATAACGGCACCGCACAGCAAGGAGAGCCTAGGGACAAGCTTCTTACCCATTGTGGTGTCGACCAGACGATGTTGCCTGACATCCGGAAGCAAGGCACCGCTCGTGGGGGCCTGGCAAGCATCGTGCCCAGCGTGCGCTCACGCCGCAACACTGGTCGCGCCTGCCAGCCAAGTGCATCCCCTGACTCTGCATCGTGCACGCTGCTGGCGTAGCCGCGAGTCTTCGGCACTCTGCTGTGAGTTGGTGCCGGCGGGCATACCTGACCGTTGCGGCGCTTGCGCTACTGCGCGGCCGGTGAGCCGCGCGGCTTGCTTCATGGGCGCGCAGACGCAGTTCGCCCAGCTGTTTGCGGCAGTGCGTTTCTCAGTTTCTAGCGATTACGTCAGTTGACTGGTCCATGTGACGCTCTGGCGCATGCCGAGCGGCACCGGCGCGGCGCGCGTTGTCTGGGTGCGGACAACAGCAGCGCAGCGTCGCAGGCGCGGCGGTTCGCAGCTGCCCCAGCAATGGCATCGCAGCGCGGCCAACGCGACAGGCCACCGCGAGGCGCGCCGGCCAGCGTAGCAGGCGGCCGGCAATGCTGCGGCGGCTTGCCGCCGCGCTGGCACCTCGCAGCACAGGCGGTGCTGGCGCGCCCTAGCCAGGCACTTGCAGCACCTGCCGAATGACTGGCGCGCGGCGCCCGGCAAAGCTTCGGGGCAACGACGCCGATGCCGTCGCCCACGCGGCGCCCCATCCACTGCGAGACGAGACGGCCATTGCGCGCGACGGGGGCGCTGGCAGGCCACAGATGGCTGGGAAAAGGCTCTCGACGGTGATCACGTCGAACACGGTGAACGGCGGGCGCGCGGTCGGGCCACCCTCGCCGCGGCCGCCGCAGCGACGTCACCAAGAGCCGCGCGGCGGGCGCATCTGCCGCAGACACGATCAAGCCCATCCGCGCGCCGCAGCAGCCGCGCGCACACATGCTGCGCAGCGCGCGTAGGGGGAGCTGCTGCGACAGGTGGAGCCGCGAGAATGTTCGACCCATGCGCTGCAAGCGCGGGAAGTTCGCGCCGCCGGCAGCCGCGCGGCGGAGACGGCGTGGCAATATGTCGTTGCCCGAGAGGGGAACGCGCGCAACCCCGGCGGCAACGTCCGCTGTCGGATCGATGGCGGCGAGCCTAGTGGCTGATGTCTGATGACACATGTTGAACGACTCTGGACGCGACCCCGCCGACGGCGCCCCATGGGCAAGCGCCGCCGCGCAAGTCGACGCGCTCGCGCGCGACCGTCCGCGCGAGGGCGCTGCCGTGATATAGCGCTAACGCAAGCATTGCCCTGGCGCGCGCCGGGCAACGAGACCCCGCGCCCCGCTCGCCGCCGTCGACGGGCGGCCGCTGACGCGTGAGCGACGAGTGAGGAATGCGCGCGGGGTGGCCTTCGAGGGTGGGCGCTGCCACGCATTAGAGCTGCGCTGGCGCGCAAAACCCCTCCTCGGTGGACTCGGAAACCCTCGACTACGGCTTGGCGAAGACGTCCGCGACGAGCCCCCTCCTCCACGAAAGGGCCCTCGTCGGCAGCCGCGCCGCGACGCATTCCTGCGCGCGCGACGCAGGCGGCGCGAAGCTCTAGCCGCGGCGCAACCGGGCGAAATTCTGCGCCGCGAAGCTGGCCTCCAGCTTCTTCCCGGGCGCGACCGCCCACGCCTGCGAGCGGCGACTCGAGAGCCGCGCGGCGCCGCAGCTCTGCGCCGCGGCCGCGGAGGCGGCGTCTCCGAAAATCTTCGACGCCCGCGACGTCCTCGAGCTCGGCGCCCACGCTGGCCACAAACGCTTCGCGGCCGGCTGCCACCTGCAGCCCCCTCGGGCGAAGCGGGCGTCTGCGAAGACGCGTCCGCGAGCATCTACCGCGGCATCTCGAAGCTTTGCTTCGTGGGCGAGACCCGAGATGCCCCCGCCAACGATGCTGGACGTTCCTAAGCCTGGCCCCTCGCGGCTTGCGCGCGGGGCGCCGACGGCGCGCGACGTCGCTGGAGCAGACCTGCATCGCGCGAGCGGGTGTGCGTCACGGAGCACCTACCGGTTGGTCTTGCGGCTGCGCCACACGGGGCGCCCATGCGGCGCGCGCGCTGAGCTGCGCTGGAAGATCCGGCCCAGCGCCATGGCGACGACGCAAGTCGTCTCGCCGACGAACCCGACGCTCCTCTCCGCATCGCAAACCTCGCCGTTGAGCCGGCGCGGCGGCGAGCACATCTCAATGCGCCGCGCGCGCTGCCTGGGAAGAAGTGGAAGAAGTGGGCGCGAACGCAGGTCCGCAGAGTGGCAGCCGAGATCACGTGGTTGAACTTGCCAGTCGCGATGGCGCAACTGGTGGCCACGACGCCCCGGCCGCGCGCCAGACTGGCCCCCGCGTGGAGCAGCGCGGCGGTCGAGACATTCTCCTCGACGATCTCGGCGCGGAAGCCGTCGTCGCCCTACCTGGGGCGGACGTCGACGCGTCTACCGCCGACGGGCCCGCTGGGGCCGCGATGCACGTGCAGGTCGTCGCATGTCCTCAAGGGGGGCGGCGGCCACGCGTCCGTCGGTTGCCGACGCGCCCGCGAACGCGGCAAGGCGACGCGGCAAGCCGGAACAGGCTTGGGAATTCAAGCGGTTCGCTCTCGATTCCTGCAGCACCGCGCTCGACTGAGTCCGCGGAGCGCCGCGATGGCTGGGGCCCTGGCAGCCGCTCAAGACAACTACGGCGCCCCGAAAACCTCGGCTAGACGGCTGCGAAATGCGCAAAGGAGTCGGTCTGGAAGTCGGACAACTGGCGGCCTTCTTCTTGGCCACGACCCTGGCACTGGTTGTTGGAGACCGCTTCTGCAATCGCCTCGCCCACCGTTGGGGCGCCGGCCTGGCCGGTGGTTCGCTCACCCCAACAGCAAGTGTCCAGGCAGCAGTCGTTGGCGACGCTGCGCGCGCACGCATGCGCGCGCGGGGATACGCCCCCGGCAGTTCTGGCGCTCGAGGCCGCGCTGCGTGGCCGGGCCGCACTGGGCCCGTGCGGCCATGCGGAGCGGTGGCTGCGCAGTGAGTCGCGGTCCGCCACGGGACTGCCAGGCGCGGCTCGCGCCTGGGCCGCGCGGCGCGCGTTCGGTGCAAAAGTCCGCCACGCGAACATGCAGCTCCTTAGACCCATCGGCTAAATGGTCGCGGCCGGCCGCGCCACGCCCCCGAGGCGCATCTACCTTCTCCGCGAAATCCGCCTTGCAATGAAGACCAGGCCGCATCGGGGCCAAAGTAGAAGCGACACGGGAACACTTCTGCATTGGAGCGGCCCGCGATCGCGATGACATAAATCTGGCGCGCGCGAGT